TGGTTATCAGTGTATTACAAAGGTACAAAACAGATTTCAGTACTTCAATAGGTTGGTATATTAACATTATATCAGTTAATGAAATTACGGTATTTAACTGTAAATTTAAGTTAAAACCGTAAATCCTAAAACGTAAAATTCCGGCAACCACAGCTGCCGTTTTTTTACCGTAAATTTTACGGAATTTTTTTTACAGTGTAGGCTACTCTCCCAGGAAACAGTCCTTTCTTTGCGTAAATATTTGGCCGGCGTTATGCAAATCTTCCCACACAGTGACGTAGACATGTGGGTGGGGACATGTTTAAACGAGGCGTTTTAGGAGGGCGTGGACGAGTTTTAACTTTTATAAAGAATATTTCTTTGGGTTTGAGACTTTAATCTTTGCAACTTTAGGGATCTTATCTATTCACGAACAGCTTGTAAGACTCCAAAGAGAAAGGAAAACTTGAAATCGCACCATATGACCCCTTTAATAGTTATTTTAAAGACTTATGTTGTTGTGGACAGTAGGGTTGGGAAGTGGTTCTCATACCATCCTCCTCCGTCTGGATGACGGTCTCGTCGCTCTCTTTGCGTCCCTCCGGGTTGGTGAGGATCATCTTCAGGCTGACGTTGGTGTTGGGAGGCAGGTTGCCCAGCACGTGTCGGGGGGCTTTGGGGTCCATCTCCAGGCAGTCGGCTTTGCTCTGGTTGGTTTTGTGGTAGTGGTAGCAGATGGTGACGTTGAAGGTGTGGCAGCGGGTGATGTTGTAGCCCAGCGACTCCCAGTCCACGGCGATGAAGCGTGCCTGCGTCTCTGCGATCTTCAGACTCTTGGGGGTCCGCATGGGTTCTGAGAGAGAAGACGAGAGACAGGTTACACTAGCCGACATGATTCACACTCAGCAGGACTATAACTCTGAAACACGTTCACATATCAGGAAGAGAACTAAATGTACTTTAGTGATACAAATACAGCTCATCGTTAAAATGGGACTCAGAAGTTGTCACCCTCCTGGAGGCAAAATAAAAGTATGATGACATGATACAGACACATTCATTTATTTAGATCTGTTCCGCAATTGCTTGCAATATTAGCTCATCTCACTCCACATTTTTGTTATGGCTTTTATGATTGTTTCTGCATCTGAGAGATCTGAGTGTCAGTTGTGGACAATCCATGACATTTTATGCAGGCATCATTCAGGTCAGCAAGTTTTATTGCCACCCAAACCATTAAAACCATCTAATTGCATGTTATAGATCTCGTAAACGAGTCATTCATGTTCATGCTTAATTTTTTCACCTTTCATTTTTGAACTCATAATTTTAGATCGAAATGTCATGTCTAGAACTTCCTGTGAAACATCTTCTCTCTGGTGACGTTTGCAGGTTTTCTCCAATCATTTAGCTCTCTTAAACGCTGAACATTTCTTACCATCCACTGCAATCTCATTTTCAGATCCGCCTGCATCCAATCAACAACCAATGCATAAACCCAACTATGTCTCATAATCTATTTTACTTAGATGCATGTCAAAATACAGAGAAGATCTGACTGTATTTCAGTTTCATAGCAACTTTAAAATTCTGAAAAAATACACAATTTCATCACTTTTTTAACGACAGGATTCATAGAGATGCCTTGTTCAGTTTTAATCTCAGTTTGAACAGCCACACAGATGAAAAACGAGACTAAATGCTGCAAAGCCACACAAACCGCAGCGTTCGGTTTTAAATTTCTCTTTCTGATGTTTAAATTAAAAAAGGTTGAAGTGAAAAGCGAGAGTGAACTGGTACGAGCAGCGCGCGAGAGAGACGGGAAGTGCTGTGAAAGCAAATGAGGCACCTGTGGACCAGATAAAGGCTCCTTCATACACACACAGATGCAGACATTTGAAGCATCTCTAAACTAGCCCATACATCAGTGAGAGAGAGGCTTCTTATAACGCCTCCCCATAATGCATCAGTGCAGTACTCCAAGATGGCTTGTAATTACTGTAACAGAGTAATTCACCTGTGCCAGACAGTTCATCAGCGTCAATACTGCACAAACACACACACTGCATCGTGCAAAAGCATGCAACACACATGCAGCGGAGAATGCATGCGGCCATCTTCTCTCTGGGATGAAATGCAGAATGTTTTTTCTGTGTTGATGGTTGGTCATGACTCATGAGATGCAGATGTAGATGTAGTAGATGGTTGGTTATGACTGAATGTCCTGTACACTTTGACCCTAACATTCATCTTTGACTTAACCTTAACCTTAACTCTAACTAAACTGTAACCTTCGTGTACAGTCATAAATCAGCATAACCTTTGACCCGAGAGTCAGCCAGGCCTGAGCTGAGGTGTGTGGGGTCAGAGACCAGATGTAAGAAAACTCAATAGTGTAGAGCTGTTGCTACACAGGGAAACACACACACATCAATGCAAGAGCACACAGAAACTATGTATTTTCATGCAGTTTGTTTAAAATGTTTTAAACATTAAACCAGATGTGCTATTATTCAGATAACAGAAAACTGATCCTAGAAGTAGTTTATGCAAATGTCTGCTATTGTGCCCCTTGTGGCAACTCTGAGAGTATAATGCATATTTTGTGTTGTGTTACATTGCATTGGGGAAAAAAAAATCTCTGAATGTAACCAATGAAATCAGAACTGAAATCATTCTCTAGCTAGAAGTGTTTGCATCCACATATTTGTGTAGAGTATGTTTTCTACTTTGTATTTGTATTTATTTATATAGCACTTTTCACAGTAGATTTACAGAAAGTCATAATGATATGTCAATAATTTCTTAGTGATATTGGTTTAATATATGGTTTTAGGTCTGGACAATATGGCATAAAATGATGATATAAACGATCCTCAGAATTTAGATTTAGCTATATTGTGCTTGAGTGTAATTAAAGTCACAATGAAATGGTAACAAGAGTCAGTTATGGCATTTGGATTAAACATTACACAGCTTTTACTTTTTTTTAATTTTTTTATGAAACACAGGCATGAATGAATCGTTCAGAGTATGATCTATAACATGCATGAATTTTAATTTCATGCCAACTTCAAGAGATATAAATATGAGTCAGTTTTGTTTTTAGAGAAAAAGATTTGGGTTAGTCAGTAGAAAGAAGCCCAACACAACATCACTACACTTACTACATGACTACTCACAAAATCAATAAACAACATAATATCAAATACTGATAGGAGTGTATATTTTATATTAAAATGTTTAAAATATTACATTATTATTAATATTAAGTGATGCAACAGATGCAGAAAATCAGTTGAACTGGTCAATTACGTTGTAGAGTTTACCAGTAATTACACACACATGAATGCCATCGTTGACCAATCACAGTCAACTGTTCTAGAAAGCCATGTAAACATGAAAAACAATGCAAGTATGACATCGAATGAAAGCCAGTGGCAGGTGAGAGAACATGATGTAAGAAGAGAAAACTCTGGGGAAGAACAGAAGCAGAAACCCAGATCAGCGGGGGGCATGTGAACCGAGGGCAGAAGACTAAATGAAACAGAGAAAGGAAGCACACACTCTCAGTACATGCAGCGCGCACACACACACACACACACACACACAGCTCAGGAGGCCCTTTCCATGTAGTCTGATTAAAATGAGATGCTCTGAATACAGATGAGGAACTTGTTAACACAGAACAGTGATTGGCTGTTTGCTCTGAGCTTATTAATAAAGCGATTCCCATCATCCCTTTGGGTGACATTTTCTCTCTCTGACTCACGATTGTCACGAATCTTCAGGAAAGCAAAGAAAACAAGACTTTTGGCCTGATATTAGAAAGAATGCAAAAGCGCTTTCTCTTCTGTTCTTATAGCCGGTGGGTTGTCAGGTTGAGGAAGACCTGCATCATTAGATTTAGTGTCAATGTCCAATAGCAAGAACTCAAGATGTATTTCAAAATTTAAAACCAAACAGGAGTTCCAAGACGAGCTTTCAAAGGGGAGTTAGGTTAGGGTTAGGGTTAGACTAACCCTAACCTAACCCTAACCCTAGGGGAGTAATTCATTTTAATAGCATCTGTTGTCCTTTATTCATTCAGTTTTTCTTCTTTCTACACATCCATATTTGACTCGCAACATCATTTCACAAACAGAGAACCCACCCTTGACAAATTGCAGCTGTGGTTAAGTAACGGCTGTCTAGAGTTCAATTCAAAGGTATTTCTGATAGTAACAGTCTTAAAGATGTCAGATTTGTTACTAAGCTTTGATGGTGAATTTAGGAAAGCAATTGATCTCCGAGGGTTTTACAGTCCAACAGCTTCTGTTACTCGCAACTGTGAACACGCTTATTCAGAAATAATGGATGAAATCAGAATCAGAGCTAAATGCAATAAAGCTAAAGACATGTCTCTAGAGTCAATTCAGCTCAAAACAAGTCACTATGTAAGTGTCAGTCATGGCAGGGAGGGTTTGTTCATCTCGTCTGAAACGGCCTGATGTATCGTATCCTTCTCGGCTCAATCACAGACAAAACACAGAGAATGCAATCCCACACACAGTTTCCAAACAGCTCTCATTAAAACACACTCATTATTCTCCAATCTTCTGCTAACTCGGATGTTTCTTTCTTTCTCCTGGCTGCTCCGCTGCTCTTTTCTGATGATTAAATGTATGTATCTACAGCCGTGATTGTGTTAGACGAAGACAGACACTCTCCAATCGATCGGCCGCTCACACAAGCACCAATCCTGATGTTTATTCTATTAAATGAGATTTTTTCATCAGGATTAGAGCAGCCGTACACTGTACATACACAATCCTAATAAAGCAATAGTCTGATAGTCTAGCCGAGTCTGATGTCACGCTAAGAGGCATTTTATTTCATGGATTTGCTATCATTATTTCTGCTGTAAATGTAATATAAGATATAAGGAATCTTGAGGTAATGTCTACGTTTTGATGTTAAATCCACTATTGTTTTACATAGTCTATACAGTATTTAATACTATTTAATTACATTAGAAGTAACTGTAATTAAATTAGAAACAGTGTAATCCCTTACTTTACGTTTTCAAGGGGAAAGTAATTAAATTACAGTAATTTACTACTTAGTAATGCATTAAACCCAACACTAAATTACCCACGATTCTCTTCTCGTTATGTGGACATACCCACAACAGCCAATCAGTGCTCTGCGGCACATTCACACTCTAAAACCTCTTAAAACGGAGGAGAAGAAAGCCTCTCGCGACTCTTCGAAAGCTCTCGATGGCGATCGTACGATTGTGGGTCTCTTAAACAGGAGGAGGCGGGACAACGCGACTGTCGCCGTGGCGATAAGGAGATGTCACTCACTGTCAAGTATAACCCACGAGAGAGGAAATTTATACGCATCCAATTCACACCCACGACCCGTGATCAATTCAGCCTGGCTGGAAAAAGCCTGAATTTAAGTGGCGAGCTGAAGGCTGATAGATCCCTGACATCCTCCATCAGTTTAAATGTCAAGCAAGCAATAAAACGTAGTGGTGAACAGCGATGAATTGCTCTGATTTGGCACGGCCCATCAAACCCAGAACCACACACACTCTCGCACACACAGATAACATTTTTCCTGCCAGCAATTACCAGCCTCCCTCTTCCTGTCTCTCTGAGCCGGGATCAATACGAGTGGAGAGCTGCATTAAGTTGCTAGATTAAAGCATTACTCCTCTGTAATAAAGCTTTACTGATCAGCCTCTCCATGATCAAATCCGAACACACTTCCCTCACACCGCCCGCGTCAGCCGGGATTTCTTCACTCCACAGGAAGCAGCGGTCCTTTTGGACGGGCTCTCAAAACACACACTTCCTGTCTGTC